CGCGTCAGGAGTCGCCCGGAGTCGCCGACAACGAGGTCAAGCAAGGTGCCGACGACGCGGCGAGCGAAACCGTCCTTGACGAGCTCGCACGGGAGTTGGAGCAGGACGATGTGCGCACTGTGACCGTAACGAAGATAAAGCTCAAGCCAGCAACACCGCCCCCGTTCAACCCTTCGGACAAGGCGACGACGGTGCAAGGGTGGCTGTTCAGCATGGAGCTGTTCTTCACGGCAGCAAGTGTACACATGGACGACGCGCGCATTAATTATGCCGTGTCGCTGCTTCGAGGACCAGCGTTGGATTGGTGGCGCCGACAGTTGGCGATTGGGACTCCGGCAGGAGTGAAGCAGGCGAAAGACGGGGCTTCGGATTCTTCAAACCAACAGGCAGAAACATTATTCGGTACGACCACGATTCGCACGTGGAAACAGTGGGGCACAGCTCTGCGAGCTCGTTTTGAGCACTCATCCGCCTCAGACGACGCTCGCATGAAGCTGCGCAACTGGCGGCAGGTGACTACTGTTCAAGATTACACTGCGTCGTTCTCGGCACTTGCGGACCAAGTCGACGACCTCAGCGAAGCGGAAAGGCGGGACAAATACGTGAGTGGGCTGCATTTCGATATTCAATACGAGTTGCAGCGGTCCCGTCCCAAGACGTTCGACGAGGCTGTCCAGCTGGCGTCAGCAGCCGATGCACTGCAGCAGTGGGCGAGAAAGAACAACAGGGATGTTGGTCGTTTTCGCGGACAGTCTCCCCGCCCCACGATCAATGGCGTGTCAGCGCCCGATGAAGTATTTCACGGGCTATGTTTTCGATGTGACAAGCCAGGTCACCGAGCTAAGTACTGCCCGACGGCGCCCAAGAAGACGAAGAACGACAAGGAGAAGCCGGGAAATGGGAAAAGTCAGTAGCAGACGGGCCCCCTACTGACGAGGCTTTGTCGCCCGAAATTCAACGTTCCCACCAAGTTGTGGTACCGATACACGCTATCGACCGCACTCGGACGAATACCGGGAGCGAACCTGAAGATCACCCTGTGCTGGTTGAGGGCAAGGTTAACGGCAAAAAAATAAAATTATTTGTGGATGGCGGAGCTAGCCATAGTCTCATTCACATCGCAACAGCGAAGCAGTTGAAGCTGACGTTGGAGAAATGCCTTCCCGAAATCGACGCGCGCTTGGTGGACGGAACTCCACTTGCAATTCGGGAACGGGCACGCATGGTGCGGATGAAGTGCGGAGACGATTTCGGATTCAGCATGCCGATGCTGGCCACGACGCTGGACGGTTGCGACATTCTGCTCGGGCGTGATTGGCTGCGAAAATACAATCCGAGGATTGACTGGACAACTGGCGAATGCAGCGTCCACTGGGCGAACGGGTGGCGCGTACTTCCGTGCTGGCGGGGGCGAGATCCGGTGTCGACACGTGTCAATGCCATCACTCTCCAGCGAGCGGTTAAAAAAGGAGCTGACTTGTACGCCGTCCACCTGGCCGAAGCGACGGTCGACGATACGTCAAAGGACATTGACACACTTTGTGCCAATGTCCCTGCCGAGCTCGCCGCGCTAATTCGTCAATACCCAGATATTTTCCCGGACGATCTGCCAGCAGGACTGCCACCCGAGCGCCCCCAGGACCACAAAATTGACCTGGAACCCGGCACGCAGCCTACAGTCAGGACTCAGTGGAGGCTGACTCAGCCGGAACTAGCGGAATTGCGAAGCCAACTGGACTACCTCTTGGAGAAAAAGTTCATTCGGCCCAGCACCTCCCCGTTCGCGGCACCCATTCTGTTCACGCCCAAAAAAGACGGCGGTCTGCGAATGTGCATCGACTACAGGGCGCTGAACCGACGAACAATCAAGTCCCGCTACCCAATCCCCCGCGCGGACGATCTCCTCGATCAACTTCGCGGAGCTCGCTTCTTCTCGAAAATCGATTTACGCGGCGGTTACCATCAAATCCGAGTCTTCGCTGACGACTGCCACAAGACGGCATTTCGAACCCGATATGGCAGCTACGAGTACACGGTGATGCCGTTTGGCCTCACGAACGCGCCCTCCACGTTCCAACTTACCATGAACGGCGTATTCCGGGACCTGCTCGACAAGTGTGTCATCGTCTACCTTGATGACATCCTGATCTACAGCAAGACCCAGGAACAGCACCTCAAGGACCTGGCGAAAGTTTTCCAGCGACTGCACGACAACCGGCTCATCACGAAAGGCTCTAAGTGCGAGTTCCTAAAATCCGAACTGGAATTTTTGGGACACGTGGTGGGAGCGGACGGCATCAAAATCGATCCGAAAAAAATTACGACGATTCGCGACTGGAAGCCGCCGACGAATTTACAGGAGCTGCAGAGTTTTCTCGGGTTCGTTAATTACGTCCGACGGTTTATCCCCAATATGGCAGGGATAACCGGACCATTAACCGACTTACTACGGAAGGGCACTTTGTTTGAGTGGGGGGAGAGACAGCAAATTGCTTTCGACGAACTGCGAAATTTTCTGATGTCGCCCCCGGTCCTCCGAATCGCCGACCCATCTCGACCGTTCGAAGTCTTGATGGACGCCAGCGATTTCGCCATTGGAGCGGTACTGTTACAAGATTTCGGCGACGGACTCCAACCCATCGCGTATGAGTCCCGGAAGTTGCAGGCAGCTGAACGCAACTACCCCGTTCACGACAAAGAAATGCTCGCCATCGTGCACGCATTCAAAGTGTGGCGCTGCTACCTGACGGGGGCCGACGTGACAGTACGGACAGACCATAAATCACTACAGTACCTCCGCGCGCAGCCGAATCTCAATCCACGACAAATTCGGTGGCTGGACTTCCTCGAGAGCAATTTCCACTACACGATCACGTACAAACGTGGGGCGAATAATATTGCCGACGCGCTGACACGACCATCCGCCCACCTCGCCTCCATCATAATTGCGAAATCCAACCCACTGCTCACTGGACTATTTACCCACGGCTACCACACCGACCCCTTTTTCACCCGCAACCTCCACCAACAGGCCACCACCGCAAAGGGACCCTACTTTCTAAAAGCCGGTACTGACCGCATCTGGGTTCCCGCCTACAGACTCCTCCGCGAATTACTTATCCAAGAGGTCCATGATTCTAATCTCTCCGGTCATTTCGGGGTTGACAAAACCCAAAAGCTACTTCACCGTTTTTATTATTGGCCTGATTCAGCGTCTGATGTGCAGAGATACGTGTCGGCGTGCCCAATCTGCCAACGCATGAAGTCGTCTCGCCAGCGGCCGGCTGGACTGCTGCAACCGCTCGAGCCACCCCAGCGACCGTGGCAACACGTGACGATGGACTTCGTCACGGGGCTCCCTGCAGCAGCCACGGGCAACGACGCCGTGCTGGTCGTCGTCGATCGACTGACGAAGATGGCGCACTTCGCACCCTGCCGTACCACAATCACCGCCGAAGACACCGCGAAACTTTTCATCTCCACCGTTGTTCGCCTGCACGGCCTACCCTCAGCGATCATCAGCGACCGCGACCCGAAATTCACGTCGAAGTTCTGGCAGGAGACATGGGCCCAGTACGGCACACGCCTCCAATTCTCCTCCGCCTACCATCCTCAAACCGACGGTCAAACGGAACGCACCAATCAGACCATGGAACAACTCATCCGGACCAACTGCCCCGATCCTGCTCGGTGGGAGGATTTCCTGCCCATGTTGGAGTTTTCCTACAACAATGCCCCATCCGCGACGACTACTCACTCGCCGTTTTTCCTAAACTACGGAATGGACCCGACAGTCCCGACGACTACCAACATCGACAACCCCGTGCCACGATCCCAGCAGTTCGTGACCACTTTACAAGCTGCCCGGGATAAAGCTATCGAATTCATTCGCAAGTCCAACTCCACAGCTCGACGCTACACGGATCTTCATCGCCGCGATATCACGATGACAGCTGGGCAACTAGTCCTTCTCGACACGAAGAACCTGCGATTGCCCCTGCCTTCCAAACTCCGCCCACGATTCTGTGGCCCGTTTCGTCTCATCAAGATGGTGACACCTGTCACAGGGAAGTTATTACTTCCGGACAAGTGGCGCATTCACGACGCATTCCACGTCAGCCTGCTTCGCCCCTACGTCGCCAACACGTCTGCCGTCGCACGACCTGCAGCCGCCCCAAGTGTTCACCCCTTGGCTGAACCCACGCTGGAGCCTTTTCGGCTTTTGAGTCATCGCGTTCGCCTCGACTCGACAGGACGCCACGTGGATTTTCTTGTCCGCTGGGTCGACCGTACAAGCGAAGACGACACCTGGGTCACTTCCGACTCGATTCAGGAACACTCGGTGCTCAAATCTTATTTGACCCGAAAAGGCGTTCCCGATATTGATCACCTTCCTTAGGGGGGGGGGTAGTGTAAGGAATTTTATTCCTTACCGGGTTGTACTGCAATCGCGTACACCCGAACTCTCGGAACACCAGGCTCGGTCCGTTTCCAACGCGACCCCGAGGCATGCCCGCACCGCCTCCGAACCTTTCGACCGCGCCTGTACCCAACCTAGCCTTCCGGGCTCGTCGCCTAGCTAGAGCTCTCGCTATATAATGCTAGGCTCCCATTCTTGTACTCGTCATTATTATTCCGCGCACTCTGAGTTATTATTCATAACACGAAGCAACATATAGGAACACCAGGGCTAATAATCGTCGTAGGATCCGATGGTTCGGGAGAGATATAGAAGGATCTTGAAAGTCCTTAGCGAAGCCTGGAGACGAGCCGAAGGCTCGGTTCTAGACGTCCAGCGCGAAACGTAGCTTCCTGACTGACGTAATTCCTAATTCTGTACAGTTGAATGTACCATATTGCAGATCCGGTTACCAGCTGGTCGTCACCGTTCGCCATTCGTCCAGAGCATTCCAGGTCTGCATTGGACACTGCTGGAGCAACCTGGTCCCCTCCCAAGAACCACTGCGCAGCTGACCCTCTAGTGAATCCCTAGCGGATTCTGGAACATCTCTGCCCCTAATCTTCTTCCCTTCTAGCCGCGCGCGCCCCGTGAGATTCGTGCTATTCCCAGCTACGACATTCCTAGGCACTCCAGTATTTATGTCTGCTCTACGCTCTGCCAGAAACCAGTGTCAACCTTTTCACGTACATTAAATCTCCGGAATTTTCGAAGCTTCAGTAGTCACCAGCCCAGATTCCTCCCACATCGCGCTTCGTCATCAGCATTGTCAGCTCAAATCCACAGACATGGCTCTCGCACTACTTTCTTCCAACCCGCTTTTGGATTCCATCTCTTCGTTCAGCGACTTCGACGACATGACCTCCCTCCTCCAAAATTTCCAAACGAATCTCCTCAGCGACTCTCAATCTCTCCTCTGTCACTCGTTCCTCAGTAACACTCTTCATAATCACACGTCCATCGGTGCCGGCCTAGTAAACCAAGCTTTCCGTGAGCTCGACGGCGAAGCTCTCGATACTCCCAAGGTCGACGTCAAGGAATCTCCAGACGCGTTTGAATTCATCGCGTCCGTTCCGGGCCTTGACAAGGAGGACATGCAAGTGCAAGTGCGGGGGAAGGACGTCTTGACGATTACCGGCAAGAGGACGAGGGAGGAGAGGGACGCTGACGATAGCAACCGCGTTGTCAGGGAGTTCCGCAGCTTCAAGCGAAGCTTCCGGCTGCCGCGTGGTGTTTCTACCAAGAAGATCAAGGCGGCGGCTCGGAACGGCGTGCTGACTGTGACTGTTCCCAAGAGAACAACTCCTCAGAAAGCTCGCGGCAGTGGCCCCGCGAATCCGAAGGTCACGGCGGAAGGGAAGGATGAGCCGGCTGGAGTCGCGAAGAGAGGCGGATTGAACGGTGAGCAACCAGCAAGCAAGCGGAGAAAAGCCGTTCGCTTTGCTCCAGGGATCTAGACCTAGGTTACCAGCTTGTAGGCAGGAATAGTCCTGTATGAACCGCTACCCATGGGCTATGTGATGGTCTGAATCACCACCGACTTTGTACATAAATCATGGTGTAAATGATTTACAATCTGTTGCTTATGTTTGCTGCACACGTTACGGCCTGTAGTTTTGTTTTGCTTCACGCTTGAACATTGCCAATGCCGCATGTTTGTCCTCACGGAGGGAAAATGAAGAGCACAACCCGCCGCTGACTTGACGAATGTATTAGATTAATGTCCTCAGTGTTGCTGCTGATGCGACACAATGTGGGAGGACCACTGAAGCACTGGTTCAGCACTGCACCACATTCCGTGTGCGTAACTCTGGCACAACGTGAGCAGCAGCACAGTTTATCCCGATTAACAGGAAGGCTGGCTGCGTGATTTCAACATGAGCGCACACACCAACGGATCATGCAGCTGGGAAGGATGACTGGTGTGTGAAGATGCGCAGGTGGTTGTCCGCACCGCCACTGACCACTGCATCGCCGCCCTTCCACCAGTCCGCACACAGCACCTGCACATGGTGGGGAAGGGGGGGGGGGAGAGGGGGAGAAGAAGGCAATCAGTGTATATACGGGCTCCGTGCATTTCCGAGTTGACTCAAATGCCACCCTTCCACCAGCCTGCACACATCACCTGCACATGGTGAGGGGGAGGCAGCCAATGAGTCATTAAAAACAAAGCACCACCACTGACCAGAGCACCACCACTGACCAGAGCACCACCACTGACCAGAGCACCACCATTGACCAGAGCAACACCACTGACCAGAGCACCACCATTGACCAGAGCACCACCACTGACCAGAGCACCACCATTGACCAGAGCAACACCACTGACCAGAGCAACACCACTGACCAGAGCAACACCACTGACCAGAGCAACACCACTGACCAGAGCACCACCGCCCTTCCACCAGTCCACACACAGCACGTGCTCATGGTGAGGGGGAAGCAGATACTGGATGGGCTTAATGCATGGGGGCAGAGACGTGTGTGCATGGGGCAGAGACGTGTGTGGATGGGGCAGAGACGTGTGTGCATGGGGCAGAGACGTGTGTGCATGGGGCAGAGACGAGTGTGCATGGGGCAGAGACGAGTGTGCATGGGGCAGAGACGAGTGTGCATGGGGCAGAGACGAGTGTGCATGGGGCAGAGACGAGTGTGCATGGGGCAGAGACGAGTGTGCATGGGGCAGAGACGAGTGTGCATGGGGCAGAGACGAGTGTGCATGGGGCAGAGACGAGTGTGCATGGGGCAGAGACGAGCGTGCAGTGCATGGGGCAGAGACGAGTGTGCATGGGGCAGAGACGAGTGCGCATGGGGCAGAGACGAGTGTGCATGGGGCAGAGACGAGTGTGCATGGGGCAGAGACGAGTGGGCATGGTGGTGACAATGTGACTGAAGGCAAAGGTAAGATGTGTGCGCGTGTGATAGGTGTGCGCGTGTGATAGGTGTGCGCGTGTGATAGGTGTGCGCGTGTGATAGGTGTGCTTGGCATTCCCCAGGCGCAAGAGACGCCGTCACACCTTGTCTGAGTGAGCCTTGACGGTGTGCAGCGGCACCTGCCCAATACGGCGAGGGGGATAAGAGGGCGGGGCAGGAGAGTGAATGACAGGAGGGGGTGCATGAAAGGCAGCATTTGGAACCGTGACTGCACAAGGGAGCATGGGCTGGCACATGGAAGGCCACATGAACAGTGACAAATGGCTGCGGGACACAAAGTGCAAGTCCAAGTATCAGCACGAGAATTAGCGGCAGTATGGCACGATTGGCATGTATTAGTGGCACCATGGCATTAGTGCGAGGACCAGGGGGCTGTATGAGGGCGTTTTGCAACAGAGAAACAATAGAGCAAACATGAATTGAAGGTAAAGAGGAAGAGCATGTTCACAGGGGAATGGTTAAAAGGGGCGCAGAGAGAAGGGGAAAAGGGGAGGGACCGCATACAGAGGAGCGGAGATCCCAGATTTTGAGAGAGCCATCGTAGGAGGAGGAGAGCAGATGAAGAGGATTGGAGGGAGACCTGCAGGGCAGCCATGCGAGAAGGGAGATTGAGACGCAAGAATGGGAGAAAGCCATGAGAGTTGGAGGCATGATACTTGTAGTGTAGCTCCAATATTTTAATATTGTAGGACCTGCTTCAAAAAGTATGAACCAAAATGACAAGTTACACACAATGGGCACCCAGCAGCAACAGCCGGTTTTTGAGAAGAGAATTCTAAAAAACCATCCAGCATCAAGCCCATGTTTAAAACGTCGCAGATTCTGGTAGGTAATGTTAAATTTAGGAGGCATGGGTGAAAAACGCATGGAAGATTGATTGCTCCTACAGCCACAGTCCCATGAGAGTGAGCGTGATGTTTGTTATCAGCGTGGAATTACCATGAGAGGGAGGGTGATTGAGAGATTGGGAGGGACGTCACCATGAGATTGGGAGTGAACACCACTTGGGTGCCATAGGTCTTTACATGGCAGCAAGTGGTGTTCACTCGGACCTATGGCACCAAAGTGGTGTTCACTCGGACCTATGGCACCAAAGTGGTGTTCACTCGGACCTATGGCACCCAAGTGGTGTTCACTCGGACCTATGGCACCCAAGTGGTGTTCACTCGGACCACGAGATTGCGAGGGACGTTACCATGAGAGAGAGGAGATCCAATCCGTGTGGCCCAGCAGCTGCACTGACGGGGAGAGCACGGCTGGCGGAAAAAGGGCAAGAGACGAGTGGCAAAGGTGGGAGGAGAAGTGGGGCTGGGGTGAGGGCGTGAGGGCATGAGGGCATGAGGGCGTGAGGGCGTGAGGGCATGAGGGCATGAGGGCATGAGGGCGTGAGGGCGTGAGGGCATGAGAGGGCGGCGATCCAATCTGTGTGGCCCAGCAGCTGCAGCAACGGCTGGTGGGGGGGGGAGATTGGACAAGGCACGAGGCACGAGGCACGAGGGAGGAATGGGCCTGCGTGGCCCAGCAGCTGCACTGACGGGGAGAGCGCGGCAGGAGGGGGGAGAAAGAGGGGAGAGGAAGAGGGGAGAGGAAGAGAGGCAAGAGGCAAGTGGTGAAGGTGGGCGAGTTAAGTGCGGGTGGGATGAGCTGCGCACGAGGAAGCGATGGAAGCGATGGAACAGCGGCATGGCGGGCATGCGATGGAGGTGGCGGGACGCACATGGGGTGAGCTGGGGGATGGAGGTGGCGGGACGCACATGGGGTGAGCCATTCACACCACTCACATGACCGCACACTCACAGGTGGCTGACCGCACACTCACAGGTGGCTGACCGCACACTCACAGGTGGCTGACCGCACACTCACAGGTGGCTGACCGCTGACCGCACACTCACAGGTGGCTGACCGCATGTCCCAGAGGAGAATAGTGGGGTGAGCCCCCCCCACTGCTGCCAGCGAAGCCATCCCCCCTCCCCCTGCTGCCACTGCCAGCAGCGGATGGGCGCTTGTCTGTGGGGAGAAGGGCGGGGGGAGGGAGGGGCCCCATGAGCCCAAGGACACACCATGAGCCCACGGGCACACATGTTTCAGAGCGCCACAAAATCAATGTCAGAGGACACACATGCACCGACACTCTTGCACGACACACTTGCACGACACACTTGCACGACACACTTGCACGACACTCTTGCACGACACACTTGCACGACACTCTTGCACGACACACTTGCACGACACACTTGCACGACACACTTGCACAACACTCTTGCACGACACACTTGCACGACACTCTTGCACGACACTCTTGCACGACACACTTGCACGACACTCTTGCACGACACTCTTGCACGGCACACTTGCACGACACACTTGCACGACACACTTGCACGACACTCTTGCACGGCTCACTTGCACGACACTCTTGCACGACACTCTTGCACGGCACACTTGCACGACACACTTGCACGACACACTTGCACGACACACTTGCACGACACACTTGCACGACGCACTTGCACGACGCACTTGCACGACACACTTGCACGACACTTGCACGACACACTTGCACGACACTCTTGCACGACACTCTTGCATGACACTCTTGCACGACACTCTTGCACGACACACTTGCACGGCGCACTTACATTACACACTTTAGCATGACGCACTTAGCATGACGCACTTAGCATGACGCACTTAGCATGACGCACTTAGCATGACGCACTTAGCATGACGCACTTTAGCATGACGCACTTAGCATGACGCACTTAGCATGACGCACTTAGCATGACGCACTTAGCATGACGCACTTTAGCATGACGCACTTAGCATGACGCACTTAGCATGACGCACTTAGCATGACGCACTTAGCATGACGCACTTAGCATGACGCACTTAGCATGACGCACATACCCGCACACTAACTGAAGCAGCAGCCTCTACATCCCAGGAGCGCAGCGAGTGATCCCACGACACAGAGAAGAGCGGCGAGTTACTCGACGGCCATGCGAGGGCGGCCACGCACTGCGAATGGCCCTCGAGGGAGAGGTCCGGCGAGAGCTGGAGGGATGGCGGAGAGGGGAAGGGGGGGGACGTAGAGGGGGGGGGGGATAAGTGACACGCACGCACTGCGAGTGACCCTCGAGAGTGAGGTCCGGGGAGGATAGCTGGAGGGATGGGGAGAGAGATGGGGGAGAGGGGGGAAGGGGGATAGAAGGGAGAGAAATGCTTGGGAGAGAAATGCTTGGGAGAGAAATGCTTGGGAGAGAAATGCTTGGGAGAGAAATGCTTGGGAGAGAAATGCTTGGGAGAGAAATGCTTGGGAGAGAAATGCTTGGGAGAGAAATGCTTGGGAGAGATGGGGAAGAGAGAGGAGTGGTGCGACATCCATGCAAGGGCGCGAGCGGAGCACTCTGGGTAGTGGCATGCTACAGCCGACACACACAAAAACCAGCCCTTAAAAAACGACTCGTGCAACATGCAACATGCAACATGCAACGTGCAACGTGCAACATGCAACATGCAACATGCAGCATGCAGCATGCAGCAGGGAAGGCAAGACGCATGACTGCACCTCCACGCCCTCTGCCTCCACGCTGCCAGCAGCAGTCCGCACTCTCTTCCGTGCTTGCCCCCTTCCCTCTGCTCCCTCCCCCGCCCCCTCCTCTCCTTCGGCCTCTTCACCGGTTCCTCCCTCCCCATCCCCACCCGCCCTGCCTTCCTCCCCTCCCCGCGCCCCTGCCTTGGCACCCAGCTTGGGCAGCGACCAGAGCTTGATGGCGCTGTCCCACCCTCCGGATGCGAGCTGTGGGTGTGGGTGATGCGTGTGAGGGACAAGCGAACAAGGGACGAGGAGCCGAGAGTGAGAGGGAGAGGAGGGGCCACCAGAGGCTGATGGCGCTGCCCCACCCGCGTGATGCGAGCTGGTGGTGGTGAGAGAGGGGGTCAGAGAGGGCAGGGGAGAGGGGTGGAGTAAGGGAGAGGGGTGGAGTAAGGGAGAGGGGTGGAGTAAGGGAGAGGGGTGGAGTAAGGGAGTGGAGAAGAGAGTGAGATGAGGGTTGAGAGGAGAGGGGAGTAAGGGGGAGGAGAAGGGCACAGGCAGCGCACTGAACAGCAGCAGAGTGGCTGCTGGCGCTGCAACATACCGTACATGCATACTTGTGTGTGTGTGAAACACACGTTAGCATGCGCATGCACGTCAGCAGAGTGCCCTCACGTCACAACCGCCACACACGCTCACACTACCACCCACCATACGTGTGTGTGACATGCCTTACTTGCACGTGCATTCACAGCCGTGCACTGCACAGAAGCAGAGAGCCTGCTCGCATTGCCACATACCCCATATGCATGTATGAGCACGTGCGTAGCGCACCTTACTAGTCCGCACGCTCACTGTAGCGGCACTGCACGGCGACAGGATGGCCTCTCGTCTCACCGCCGCCGCCACTGACGCTCACACTCCAACCCACCATACGTTAGTGCAATGTACCTTATTCGTGCGTGCGTGCACGGCAGCGCACTGCACTGCAGCAGCATGGCCGCGCATCACCGCCACCACTGCCGCGCGCAGGGAGGAGGGACCAGTCGACGGCTCGCTGCTGTCGCCAGAAAGCTGGCAGGGAAGGGACGGGTGGGAGAAGCAAAGGGGGAGGGGTAAGCGGGAGGAGAGGTGCGACATGGAGAGGCCACCGCTGTGACTGACACTTGCAGGGTTTAGGAAGGGTTGGTGGATGGCTGGCTGCTGTTCTCCATCACTGGCAATGCAGAGGGAGAGGTGGCAGGAGAAGTGAGAAGGGGAGAACGAAGGGGCGAACAGAGTGCGCTCTCATTGCAGCCACGGCTGATGCTTGCACAGAGGCAGGTGGCGTGGGTGGGTGGATTCACGATACAGCATGAGAGGATCGCAATCTTACATCCCATTGGCACGGCACACCGTGTCTCTACGGGTCATGGGAGGCCCTATGGAGGTCATGGGAGGCCCTATGGAGATCATGGGAGGCCCTATGGAGATCATGGGAGGCCCTATGGAGATCATGGGAGGCCCTATGGAGATCATGGGAGGCCCTATGGAGATCATGGGAGGCCCTATGGAGGTCATGGGAGGCCCTATGGAGATCATGGGAGGCCCTATGGAGATCATGGGAGGCCCGATGGAGATCATGGGAGGCCCTATGGAGATCATGGGAGGCCCTATGGAGGTCATGGGAGGCCCTATGGAGATCATGGGAGGCCCTATGGAGATCATGGGAGGCCCTATGGAGATCATGGGAGGCCCTATGGAGATCATGGGAGGCCCTATGGAGATCATGGGAGGCCCTATGGAGATCATGGGAGGCCCTATGGAGATCATGGGAGGCCCTATGGAGGTCATGGGAGGCCCTATGGAGATCATGGGAGGCCCTATGGAGATCATGGGAGGCCCTATGGAGATCATGGGAGGCCCTATGGAGATCATGGGAGGCCCTATGGAGGTCATGGGAGGCCCTATGGAGATCATGGGAGGCCCTATGGAGATCATGGGAGGCCCTATGGAGATCATGGGAGGCCCTATGGAGGTCATGGGAGGCCCTATGGAGGTCATGGGAGGCCCTATGGAGATCATGGGAGGCCCTATGGAGATCATGGGAGGCCCTATGGAGATCATGGGAGGCCCTATGGAGATCGTTGGGTAAGGCTTAAGCGCCCTGTTCACCCGTTGAGTAGACATGGGCAGATCATGTCTACCGTTGAGTGGACCCTGCTGACCCAATGAATCACCAATGAATGCGGCGCACCCCGCCATCCTGCATGCTTGCTGCTGGATGCAGCTTCACCTCGACTCACCTGCGTTCACGCGCTTTTCTCCCCCCAAACCCCCGCCCTCCTCCTTTTCACATTGTTCTCAGGTCTTCCTCTTGAATCCCATTCGATTAAACAACCTGTATGTATTGCATCGAATTTAAAGGACTGAACAGCGAGTGATTGTACCGCTCCCAACCCAACGACCCAAACAGCAGTTACCTGCCACCGGTTACCTGCCATCGGTTACCCGCCATCGGTTACCTGCCATCGGTTACCTGCCACCGGTTACCTGCCATCGGTTACCTGCCATCGGTTACCTGCCATCGGTTACCTGCCATCGGTTACCTGCCATCGGTTACCTGCCATCGGTTACCTGCCATCAGTTACCTGCCATCGGTTACCTGCCATCGGTTACCTGCCACCGGTTACCTGCCATCGGTTACCTGCCACCGGTTACCTGCCATCGGTTACCTGCCATCGGTTACCTGCCATCGGTTACCTGCCATCGGTTACCTGCCATCGGTTACCTGCCATCGGTTACCTGCCATCGGTTACCTGCCACCGGTTACCAGTTACCGGTTACCTGCCATCGGTTACCAGTTACCGGTTACCTACCTGCCAGAGGCGCAACGTTCGGTCCTTTGACGAGGAAACAAAAGCATTGGCGGCTGGTGGGCGCTCAGTAGCGGAGGGTGGAGGGAGGGGAGGAGCGGGCAGAGGAGGCGCGATTGATGTGATGCCAGTGAGCGGTGCGCATGACATGATGTGATGTGAGGGTGAGATGCCTTTGAGCGCTTGCAGTTGACGGGTCAAGTGGAAGAGGCTAGGGCGAAGATGGGGGCAGTAGAGTAGATGGGCACACGGGAGACACGCGACACGGATTCGACTCACACATGGCACGAGCAGGCATGACAGGCGTGGCATGCACACATGCATGTGACATAGTCACATTGCAAGATGTGGTGCCTGGCATGGCATGATGTGGCACCTGGCATAGCATGAGGTGGTGCCTGGCATAGCATGAGGTGGTGCCTGGCATGGCATGATGTGGTGGCATGCACACATGCACACATGCACATCACCGTCACGCACATACATTCACGATGTGAGTGACGGCATTGGAGTGCGCTGCAGCCACTTGGGTGCAACTAGCAGCGCTTGAAGCACACTCAGTACCAGGCACTATCACCAGCACACCTGTGTCTAACGTGCCGTGCCACACTACCTGGCAGGGCAGCGATGTGAGTGACGGCATCAGAGTGCGCTGCTGCCACTTGAATGCAGCTGGCGCTGCCACTGCCAGCACCACCATCAGCACCACCAGCACCAGCAGCAGCAGTAGCATCAGTGCTGGCGCTCGGCCCAGCTGTGGTGGCAGCAGCGGAGGCAGGAGGGACGGAGAAGAGGCTGCAAGGGAAAGCGCGGGGACAGGGGGCACATAGAAGCATGAAACGGGAGCGAGAAAATTTCGTCCACCCAAACACACTATGCCATTGTGGTCCTCGCTCGCCTCGCTAAAACTCTTTATCTTTCAAGGCTCTCTTCCTTTCCGAACTTATGCAGCCATGGGAGACATCCCAGGTATGCAAGACAAGCAAGAGAGCTATGCTGCGCATGTGCCATGCCATGCCATGTGATGCCATGTGATGCCATCGCATGTCATATCAGCTTTTGCCATGCGCCATATCATTCACATGCCATCCCAGTGTGCTCTGCATGCATGCAGTGTCAGCACTCACCGCACATGCGAGTCATAGGAGCCAGACACGATCGCACTGCCACACGCAACAGGGGGGACGCGAGAGAAGGGGGTGGTAGAAGGGGGAGAGGGGGCACGGAAAGCCAGGATGAGCGGGAGGGGTGATCGCAAAGGAGGGTAGTGTGGCTGCTTGCGACTAAAGGTTGACTCCAGAAAGTAGAAGGGGGTGTTGCAGGAAAGTGGAAAAGGGGGAGCGGGGGCGAGTTGGGGAGGGGGGGGATGAAGGGGAGGAGGGGAAGGAGAGGAGGGGAAGGAGAGGAGGAGGGGAAGGAGAGGAGGAGGGGAAGGAGAGGAGGCGAGGAAGGAGAGGAGGCGGGGAAGGAGAGGAGGAGGGGAAGGAGAGGAGGAGGGGAAGGAGAGGAGGGGAAGGAGAGGAGGAGGGGAAGGAGAGGAAGAGGGGAAGGAGTGGAGGAGGGGAAGGAGAGGAGGAGGGGAAGGATAGGAGGAGGGGAAGGAGAGGAGGAGGGGAAGGAGAGGAGGAGGGGAAGGAGAGGAGGAGGGGAAGGAGAGGAGGAGGGGAAGGAGAGGAGGGGAAGGAGAGGAAGAGGGGAAGGAGAGGAGGGGAAGAAGAGGAGGAGGGGAAGAAGAGCAGGAGGGGAAGGAGAGGAGGAGGGGAAGGAGAGGAGGCGGGGAAGGAGAGGAGGAGGGGAAGGAGAGGAGGGAAGAAAAGAAACGCCTCTGAGTGGCACGTGGCGCAGGCACGTGGACACGGAAGGAGCGATGGAAGAACGCAGTGGCAGTCAGCCGATACCCCATGATTGGGCATGGCGACGAGAGACGCACGCCAGTGAAAGAGTTCTGACTGTAGAAAACACCTGGAACGCTTTCACCTGAGGAAGCACCTGAGCGAGGGCTGTCACCTGGGGAGGGCAGCAGAGACAGCAGAGACCCAGTCCTCGTGAGGCGCAGCAAGGGAGGCGGAGGGCGGGCGCACTGCTAGCGTGTACTCGATGGGGATCACCCGCTCCTGGGAGGGGGTATGGCGGGCGAGGCAAGAACGGAACAGCGGTGAGGCGGAGAAGCCGAGGGGGAGGCGGAAAGAAGGCGCAGTGGCAGCGAGTTCTCCATTGTGAGCACCGCTCCTGGCGCTCGAGGGGCGTTGCCGTGGTCTCAGGATGACAGGCACGCCGCACTGCTCTAGTTCACCCCACACGAATGACGTGGTCCTGGGGTTAGGGGGGCATGGTGGAACGAACAGGAACGGCAGGAGGGAAGAGAGGGAGAGGGCACGCGGGCATGGCACACTTGGGGAAGGGAGTGAGGGCAAGAGGGCGTGGAGAGCGCAGGAGAACAACGGATTGGGCACCCGGGCATGGTACGCGGTACAGCGGTGTTCACATGTTGGGTTGAGGGACGGGGTGGGGTGGGGATGCACGGGAAGCCCATGGGCCCGCTCAGGCATCCATGGTGGCACTTCGTGAGTCATGACGCCTCAAATGCCAGGCTTTGAATGGCGTCAAAGCATGGTGGCAGGCATGCCATGGGCCCGACAGCATGCCATGGACCCGACAGCATGCCATGGACCCGACAGCATGCCATGGACCCGACAGCATGCCATGGACCCGACAGCATGCCATGCCTATGCTATGCGTCCACCAGCATCGTAGCATGGGATGCTGGTGGACGCATAGGCTGGAAGGAAATCCGCAGCAGGGTGCACGCATCAGATCAGGGGTCTCACCGTGGAGAGTGCTGACGTGAGAAGGCACTTGCGCAGGGAGGATCGCAGCAGCCGTCCATCCACAATGAAATCGAACGGCTGTGGTGCGTCTGGAGGGGGAACCGAAAACAGAGGAGAAAAAGTTCAGGGGCAATAAAGAGAGAACGATCTCGGCTTCGGTTTGTCTGGTGAGGTTGAAATGAGGGAGGTTGGGGGCTGTGGTGACTCAATCTCAGCCGTCCTTTTGTAGGGAAATCGAGCCACCTAGGTGGGTTAGGAAGGGTTGAGAGTGAAAGTTGAGGGGGGGCGAGAGTGAGAGAGGGGAAGAGCGGAACGGAGGAGAGGAGTGCGCCGCAGCAGGGATAGGAGACAACCAAGGGATGAGGGTTTTGTTAGGAAAGGTTGCAAGATCAAGGGTTTTGTGAGTAAGGCTGAGGGGTTCAGGGTTTCGCTCAAAAGAGGTTGAGGGCTTAAGGGCTTGCTGGAGCATTTGTCCAGGATCGCACAGACCGCACTTATGAGATTACAAATGAGAGGCCAGGGTTTCGGGTTTCCCTGCAAGGCCCCTAAGGCACGGGAATGAGGCGCAGGAGCGGGGCACTATGGACGCCACGCGTTGGGAGGGGAGTCGGGGATGGCAGCTGGGGTTTTGGGAAGGGCAGCTGGGGTTTCGGGGAGGGCAGCTGGGGGTTTGGGGAGGGCAGCTGGGGGTTCGGCGAGGGCAGCTGGGGGTTTGGGAGCTGGGGGTTTGGGGAGGGATGCTGGGGGGGTTGGGGAGGGTGCTGGGGGATGGGGGGGTTGAGGGGGTTTAGGGAGTATCTCGAGGAGCTTCGAGGCACGGGAGGGGACGGACCAGCGAGGACATGCGGGACGGTGTGAGGCGGGTGGGCGGGCGATCTGGCATTGAAGCGAGGCTTGGCGCGGCTGCGAGGGGCCTAGTAACGCGGCTTAGCAACGGAGAGCGTCGAGAGGAGGGATAGAAGAGGGCGAAGCACCGCATTTATCACCCACTGAAAACGGGCTGAAGCGGGACGCTGGCGGTTAGGTGTGTGCTTGGGATTGCAGAGGCCGTGGCGTCGAGCCTCGCTAGCGGTGTGCAGGTGGATCGAAACGTTACGCGGTAACAGCGATTTCCGGGTTTCATGTTCTCACCGCGCTGCTCCAACAGCGTGGATGGCTTGGGAGATCTTACCAGCGGCACACTAGCTCAGCGTTACGTGGTAACATATTCGCTCGCTAGGTGCTATTGGCATTTCCCCGGCCGAGTAGCGCGTCGATAACCTCCTAGACCATAACCGGGCCCACTAATTAGACGTTACGTGGCCACCGAGTCGCTCGCTAGGCGCTACTGGCATTACCTCGGCCGAGCAGCGTGTTGATCACTTCCGAGAGACCGTAGCGGGTGAGCCTGACGGGCACCGCGAACGGCGTTGACGGCACCGTCAGGTGTGCCGGCAGACGCGTCGTGAACCGCACCTGCACCTGCCGGTCGTCCGTGCCGGCCGCTACCGGCGCCATTTTGGGCGATGAGCGTGGAGGGAATCAAGTGTTGACGGCGAAAGAGTGAGTGCAGCAGCGCGCTAAGAGAGGGGAGAGAACCCAGGTTGGGTGGGAGGTGGGCGAGGGGAGCAGCGTTGTCTGGGGGTGGTGAATGGATCCTCGTTACACGAGACAGGAAATGAATTCGCAAGCTCGTCCTTTATTATGATATAATGACATTATCCAAGATTTTATACAAATTTCTAGGAGTTGTTGACGTTGCTTCAATGAAAGTTAAAAATATATATATTTTAAATGAATCCGGAGCCCACTGTAATAAATGGAATCAAACTTAAGAAGTGAAAGTGTATTCGCCTATTGAAGATGTTGTGGATATGATAAATTGGGTATTTCTAAACTAACTGCATATACGGCGCATAAGGGGGTTTCTCCCACCATCACATTGCCTCAACGCCACCACACCATGCATGCATTCATGCCTCCCCACACAACGCATACCGAACCGACGGTCCGTGTCGCATTTCCTGCTAGCGCGTGTGCATGGCCGCACGCAATGCCTACCACGCCGCCTCGTTCTCTTCTTGCGCTCGCACGATGCAGCTTGTAAAGCAGCCTCGTTGCTACAGTAACATGCAGGCCTGCTCACCCTCCAATGCCTCGCCAGCTTTGATGAGTCTCAGGCATTCTCACCAGGGCTCACGCTAAGGTTTTTTTAAACTCTGTTTCTCCCGGATTCCCCACCCCCCTGCACCCTGATTCGTCCGGATTTCAGGGTAGTTGATTTCTGTTTCATCCGGATTCGGGTACAAAGTTACTTTTAGCCGAGTTACAGCAAACATTGACTCGGACATGTCAAGATGTTCAAGGTCCAAACAGGGTAACATTCGCGGAGTGCCAGAAAAAGAGTACTTTTGGACTTTCTATGTTAAGAGTGTGAATTTCCTCCGCTAATTTTCTGAAAACCCCGCTAAAGTAGGGTAGAATATGTGTCAGCAACCTTCGCAACTTTCTGGGTTGCGGGAAGGGGGAGGGGGGGAACGTGGCTAAACGTTTTTAGCCAAATTTTCCTAGCTCCGTGGGCGTGCGGGGCTGTAGGAGGAATTCTCCTGTCTGTGAGGGACGTCAAATATTCAAGGTTTAGGGTGGCCTGGGTGGGGGGAGTCTCTCTGTGTAAAATTGTCTAGGTTTAAATGAGACTTAGCCAAATAATCTATGTTATGGGGTAACGCAGAAATGTTCCTGCAATGAGGACTAGCCGAAGTTTCGTGGGTGTGGGTAGGAGGACTATCTCTGTTTGGGAGGGACTTAGCCGAATTCCACTATGGTATAGGTAGGAATGTTCCTGACTGTGACGGACTTAGCCGAAAATTCTGGGTTTCGGGTAGTGCGGGTGGGAGGAGCACGGTATGTCTGTGTGTGGGGGACTTAACCATATTTGCTCGGTTGCGGGGTTAAAGCCCAGGTCCCAAGTTACAAGGCGCGAGGTTTTTTGTTAACAATTTCGGAAGGGGTCTGAGTGGTTACCCTGTGAAAATTTGAAACAATGAACTTGTTGGGGGGGGATGGAAAAGGGAAGCGTGTGATTGGACGATGAGGGAAAACAGGTTTCGCGAACCGAGCAGACTCCAACTCAGGGAGGAAATGGCAAAGGGGAAAAGCCGTTGCTTGTAATTTGGGACTGCCAGAAACTGTTTTGTTCACAAAATGGTGCTACACGTAGCATTTCCCTCGAGCATTCCACGACCCTCACTAGCCTAGTCCTCTCCTTAGCGTGCTCGACGGCCTAGCCTTCAAAAGCCGTGGACCCAAATTCACTGGCGACCCAATCATCTCGCTGCGCGTAGCATCCTGCTCCCCACTGCCCGTCGCTACCCTAATCCTGTTTGGCGCCCTCGCGTCCTGACTCCCGTTTCCCGGCGCGCGAGCTGCTCCGAGCTCCCTACATCTGCCCGTTACCCACTTTCCCCCGTCGTCGGCGCTGGTTGGCTGCAAAGCGGGATCCACTTCCCGCTTCGCGCAGCCCGCGCGACCCGCCGAGTGCGCATCGCTCACCTTTTCCCGTGGTCACTCCGTCGCACGCTGCTTCCCGCAGCGTGAAGAGCAGGGAGGGAGTGAGGCGATAGAGCAGGGAGGGAGAGTAGGGATAGAGCAAGGAGGGAGAGAGGAAATAGAGCAGGGAGGGAGAGAGGCGATAGAGCAGGGAGGGAGAGAGGCGATAGAGCAGGGAGGGAGAGAGGTGATAGAGCAGGGAGGGAGAGAGGCGATAGAGCAGGGAGGGAGAGGGAGCATGAGAGCAAGGAGGGAGGGGGAGCATGAGAGTAGGGAGGGAGGGGGAGCATGAGATCAGGGAGGGAGGGGGAGGATGAGAGCAGGGAGGGAGGGGGAGCATGAGAGCAGGGAGGGAGGGGGAGGATGAGAGCAGGGAGGGAGGGGGAGCGTGAGAGCAGGGAGGGAGGGGGAGCATGAGAGCAGGGAGGGAGGGGGAGCATGAGAGCAGGGAGGGAGGGGGAGCATGAGAGCAGGGAGGGAGGGGGAGCATGAGAGCAGGTAAGGTAAGGAGGGCAGGAAGGTAAGGAGGCAGGTTGCAGCTGCCCGCTTCTAGCTTCTCGCTTTCCCGCTCCCTGCTGCGGCCCGCTACTGGCTTGCCTCTCCCGCTCCGTGCTTCCCTGCTGCTTCCCGACTGCCCGCTCCGCCCTTCCCTGCTCGGGTTTTGCATTGGAAGGGTTTGTGTGGGCCTGGATATGGGTAAGCTTTCGTATGTGCGGGCATCAATAGGTGCATGCATGTACCCCGTCTTTTCCCTGAATGTCCTTCCCATGTTTCTCTCTCCTTCCTTCCGCACCTCTCTCCTCCCTTCCGCACCTCTCTCCTTCCTTCCGCACCTCTCTCCTTCCTTCCGCACCTCTCTCCTTCCTTCCGCACCTCTCTCCTTCCTTCCGCACCTCTCTCCTTCCTTCCGCACCTCTCTCCTTCCTTCCGCACCTCTCTCCTCCCTTCCGCACCTCTCTCCTCCCTTCCGCACCTCTCTCCTTCCTTCTGCACCTCTCTCCTTCCTTCCGCACCTCTCTCCTCCCTTGCACACCTCTCTCCTCCCTTCCGCACCTCTCTCCTTCCTTCCGCACCTCTCTCCTTCCTTCCGCACCTCTCTCCTTCCTTCCGCACCTCTCTTCTTCCTTCTGCACCTCTCTCCTTCCTTCCGCACCTCTCTCCTTCCGTCCACATTCCGCTCCTCCCATCCGCTAGATCGTCTAGGTGGGTACAGGCAGGGGCACGGGAACACGTTTCTCTCTCTCCTACCCGCAACTCTCGAACCCCTAGTCTCTGGCTTCGGTTTGCATCTTTCGCGCCGTGCAAAATCGACTCACTACGGTACTAGTTACTGGCGACGCTAAGCGCGAATGGATGTAGAGCTGGGAAGATTCTGGCTCGCATATACCGTGCGGAAAGCGACACATATCTGTGCGGAGCCGGGCGCCTTTTTTTAAGCAGTGCTTTTGCCGTTGTTCGCGTCTGTTATTTGGTTTCATTGCCCCTAGCGCGTTTGCCGCTGGGCGCAGTCTGGTGCTTGCCTGGTGTTTTTGTGTGACGCGATTTTGTGACGCATTTTTGTTTGCGAGGTTCCAGATTGACTAGGGAAGGTTTGGCGAAGGCTTTTCTGTTTGCGAAGGGGCAAGATCGTTTGGCCTTGTTTCGCAATTCCAAATTTGAATCTCTGGTTCCTCGTCATTTTCGGAGCCAATCTAAAACCTTTCGCCCTCTCCCGAGCCGCGCACCGCAAATCTGCTTTTCGCGGCTTGCAACTTGGGACTTGGGCTTTAAGGAAGGAATGCTGCTGGACGCTGGGGACTTCGCCGATTTTTCTTAGTTTGCTGGTGTGGGAGTTATGTGTGTGAGGGACTTAGCCGAATTTTCTGGGTTCGGGGGCTCCGTGGGATTGTTTATGAAAGTTGGGGACTTCGCCGGAAAAATGTCTCTGCCACCCTGGGTGAGAGGAGGGGGGAAGGGTAGGAGGGTGGGGGGGGGGGGGGTTTCTTGGCAGTTGCAGCCGGATTGCCCCCCCAGCGAATTCTGATCTTTCCGGAGCCCCCCGCAGCGCCACTTCTATAAATTATGGAAATCCCGATAACTCTACCCGTTCAGAATCCGGAACGAGCCCAACGCGAACTCTTAATGTTTTTTCATTCCGGGTAATTACCCTTTAAAACTACGCCTTGATTCTCACCTCAAACCACGCGCTAGGCAAGCATCCCAAAATTGTGAGCCCCAAAATTGGGTTGCGAGGGAGGGGCACGCGGGTATCACACAGCTCGTGCCCGGCAAGTTACCCCCAGCAAACCCCAATGTCACATGAGGGGTGTGGCGAAGTCTGCGACATGGCGATTATGGTCGAAGTGTTTCGCCATATAGACAGAGGACCAATCAGGGGAGGTGTGGGGCCTGGGTCACACACATGAAACCACACAGCTTCGGCTCGAGCATTTGTCCCTGGTTCGGCCCGGACATTAGGCTCCGAGGGAACGCCAGAGGCCCGACAATCACTATGACTCAGGCGCCCCTGTTAAGGGCATAGGCTCCCATTATATGTACTGAATAGTTGCACCTCTTAAACCATATTTCAGTTGTCAGAAGGTAGGTTGCACAATAAACTGCTCGCAAATAGCCATTCCGCAATTGAAAGCATGAAGCCAATGGGTTAATCAATTTTCATGTCACTACCAAAACAGCCTCTTCAGGAGGCAACATCAAAGTACATCCAACATTTAAACCCCACCGTGCCGCGACCCATCTGCCCACTTGTTCAACAACCATGTCCCTGGCCTATCAAAAGACTGCACCACGTGGACAACATGACTGAGACTGCTCGCGGGAACAACGACGCATGCATCTGGCCTCTGCACCTCCTGCAGCCTCATGCATCCGGTCAAGGAATCAACGCGGTCGCACTTCCATGGCTTAATGTATGCGACCTCGTGCGCAGCACCCCCTTGAGTGACATCCTCCTTGCGGGCACACAATAGCAACACTAACTTCCCATACGCCGCCACAGTATCAGGTGGACCATACTCG